TCATGTCAGTTGAACACGAATCATAATATTGGCTTATACGCGATATACGATTTAATATCGTGAAAATACGAAACATGATGTGTGATTTTAAATCACGTGACTGTAATTTTAAATCGTATTTGCATAGGTAGGATAAAGAATGAAAAAAAAATAATTTTTCTTTCTCGGAAATTTGAAAACAATTCTTCCAAAAACAGATTTTTTTTTAAAAATTAAATTGAAAAAAAAAGCTGAAGATACTAAACCGGCATGCCTGAAAGTCATATGCAGAAAGGTGTGAAACAGTAATTCTCATATCAATCTCTGTCAAAAAGCGTTAGGATAAGATAATTTTGATAATTTTGTTTTCTTTTTTTTTGTAAAACTAAAGAAATTACTGCGATTGAGACGAATTTTCCTCGAACAATGTTCATACATTCTGCATAACTGTCGCTAGCTTTTTATTGTTATTTTTTTCTATTTTCTTTTGAATATTCATCGCCCCCCTGATCGCACCATTCAGGGGAGAAATGGCCCCCAGATTACTACTTATTTACCAGGAGCAACTTATTTAAATACTGTAATTTATATTGTAAGTAAATTTTTTTTTGTCGGAAATAACTTTACAAGCATGGTATTTTTGCCGGATTTTTTTTCTATGGGCATAGATTTTTACTCCGTTTTTAACAAGGATTTTAAAACAAATTTCCGGCATAGCCTGGTCGGTAGGGAGCTGGGCCCATGTCCGAGAGTTCGTGGGTTCGTACCCCGTTGGCCGAAGAATGACTGAAATGTAGTAAAATGACTGATGCACTTTAAATCTGTCGAGTTGCAAAAGTCCTCCATGTTCCCATAACAAATCAAAACCTCTGGGGGTACTGAATTGGAGATTGATCGTTCGCTGATTCAGGTCAAAATTACGATCTGTGGATGAATGAATGGATGTATCAATTGGTCCGCTCTATAAACAGGTGCGACGTATGGTGTGGCAGAAGCCGAATTCTCGGTCATAGATGGCGCCACTAGAAAACAAGAACAATCGCAACCCCTCTGCCTAAACAGGCATACGCCAACAGCAACAACAAATTATGTTTTTGATGTTGATTTCGGAAAACCCTTCATAGATTAATAAACGAAAATGCCTATAATTACAAACAAAAAACAAAGCTTTGAATAAATGTTTAATCGTTTTCTAAAAAAAAAATTCAATTCTTACTTTTTCTTTTCCAGATTTAAAAATATAACAAAAGATCATATTAAAGTTTTCAATGACGCTTAGATCAAGTCGTCATTGTCAATTAATTTAAACTTAAGAGAAATAAAGTAAATATAGTTAAACTTCTAATTAAAAACTCTCTAGACAATATTTTATCCAGCTTAAAAATAATTGTCATCATTTATCTTGTCAAAAAAAGTGCAATGTAATTTAATTGAGTATTTTGTTACTTAAACTAGTTATTTCAATAGAATTATTCGTCTATTGTTCAACTAAAACTGCTGTTAATCTGTAGCTTTCGTATAGTGTCATCAGCCATTCTTGGAATTTGATAAATTACTGGATATTTAATCTTGAAGAAGACGAGAAAATTAAATCAAATTTTTGTTCTTACTTCCGTTACTTAAGCTTTGTCATATAATGCTTAGTATATTAATTTCTGAATTTAAGTTTAAAAAAACCTTTCACGTGAATGAATTTTTATTATTTTCGCACTCGAGTTTAATTTCATTGGTTTTGTAAACGCTATTATTGTACATTAATAGCCTCTAGAAGATTATTTGTATAGTAATTTATCAATTACTTCGAAACAAAAAAAATGATAAGCAATCGTGAATTAGATTATTATCATAAATAATGTTTTCGAAAATTGTAAATAGTTAAATATTATGGGTTTCTATGGCCGGGATAGCCTGGTCAGTAGGGCGCTGCGCCCATGTCCGAGAGTTCATGGGTTCGAACCCCGCCGACCGAATACTCCCGGTGTAGTAAATGTGTCGTAAAGTGACTGATGCACGTTAAATCTGTCGAGTCGCAATAGTCCTCCATGTTCCCGTAACAAATCAATACCTCTAGGGGTACTGGATTGGAGATCGATAATTATCTAATTCAGGTCAAAAACTACGATCTGTGAATGAATGAATGGACGCATGAATGAGTCCACCCTATAAACGGACTATGATGTGCGTTTGTGACTTATGTCGGATTCTTGGACATAGATGGCGCCACTGAAAAACAAGAAACTGCAGGCTTGCTGNGACTCCCCGTGTAGTAAAGTGACGGATGCACGTTAAATCTGTCGAGTCGCAATAGTCATCCATGTTCCCGTAACAAATCAATACCTCTAGGGGTACTGGATTGGAGATCGATCATTATCTAATTCAGGTCAAAAATTACGATCTGTGGATGAATGAATGGATGTATGAATGGATCCGCCCAATAAACGGGTGCAACGTATGGTGTGGCAGAAGTCGAATTCTTGGCATAGATGGCGCCACTGGAAAACAAGAACAGTCACACCCCCTCTGCATAAACAGGCATACGTCAGCAACATTAGGGCTTCTATAATTGTAATTAAATATACATTGATGAAAAGACAAATTAATTACATTAAGCAACTTCGGTTTCACTTTTATTTGGCTGCTGTGTTATTCTCGAGTAACAATTAAGACTATTAGTGAGATGTTATTACAAAACTTGGAGGCGAAAATTAAGTGACATTTTTAAAAACAGGGAAAAAAAGAGACAGTTTTGAAAAAAGAAACGTTTTTTACTTTATTTAATTATAAAGTATTGATTTATTTTGCTTAGTTATTAAACATCAGAGATCTTAATATTTGAATGCACTAAGGGACGGTTTTGAGTATCTTCGGCGTGGAAGAATGTTCCAAGTGCAATTTGTCGTTTTGTCTTCATTTTTGATCATGATTCTAAAGATGCACTTTAAAGGTGTTCTTTCTGGAGCATCTTGTATAGATTTTGCAAATTGAAAGCTTGCTGTCAAGAAACAAAAGCAAGGCATAATCTTTATTTCTTCACTCATAAAGAGCAACGGATATTTAAATCAATTTACACGAATTCACTTAGAACATACATTCACTCATCTGTTGCATTTTGAATCTGTAATATTTAATAATCTAATATCTATAATATTTAATAATTTATTTCTAATTGCACATTTTACTGTTCCAAGAGTTACTCCAATTTCGAATCTGTATCTATATCAAATTTAACATAAAAAAAAGCCGCTTTATTTATTGTTTTTTTTTTGCTGATAAAATGTTGAAAATAAATTATAAGCGTTTCAAATAGTTATTTAGAATGTTTTATGATTTCAATGTCCAACAATCAGGATTTTATGATTATTTTATGCCCCATAAAAATTTGTGTTGGATTAGAAAACAACTTCCTTTGAGAAAAATATTAGGCTTCTCAAGGTGCTTACAGTGCATAAAATGTGCAAAAATGTAATATCATCCATATCATCCCATGTAATATCAAATGTATCCATTATTCTATAGTGTTTAATATGCACCTATAGCATTCATTTCAGTGAATTCTGTTAAGTACACTAAAACAATACTTTTTGAGCCACATTATCGATCATCTTAACTATTTTTACATTGAGATATTATTGTTCAAATTTAACGAAAACATTGTTAACTTTGACAAGCTTGCAACAAATTTTTATTGTATCATTGCTACTGATTTTCTTGTTTAACGTTGAATTAATTCTTTTGAGTGTGTAAGGGATATATACAAAATGAAACTTTATTACAACATGATTTTTGAAAGATATACACCGAAGAGCCATTACATTATGACCACCCTCCACCTATAACAGTGGGCTCACCCAGGTTTTCATGGTTTCTCGCCCAGGAACAATGTTTTCATGGGGCACATTAGGACCCATAATCCTCATAGAAAAATCCCTGACGTCTGTAAGCTACTTGAACATAGTTGCAGACCAGGTTCACCCATTCATGACAAAAGTTTTTCCTGCGGGGTATGGTGTCTACCAACAGGATAATGCATCATGTCATAAGGGTCGAATCGTCATGGATTGGTTCGAGGAACATTCCCGTGGCTTTCAAGTCATGTCTTGGTCCCCAAATTCACCTGACCTTAATCCAATAGAGCATTTGTGGTCCTACTCGGAAAACCAACTTCGTGCTGCCACGCTACCCCCTCGCAATGTGAGGGAATTGCAGGACCAGTTGGTGAGCGCTTGGTACCAGATACCTCAGACTACCTATCAGCACCTTGTAGAATCAATACCACGGCGGGTGCTAACAGTTTTGAGGGCTAAAGGTGGTCCTACATGTCATTAGCAGGGTGGTCGTAATGTAATGGCTCTTCGGTGTACATGTTTGAATGTCGGATTAAAGTTCTCTTTAAATATAATTGTCGACTATATTAAAAGCTCTTATAAAGCAAAAAATACCCCTGCCACGATTTCAAAGGCATTTCTACTTTTGTAAATGGTAATAAAAAGAAAACTTTTAAATAGTGTCCTTTTCCCACTATAACTATCCATTTTTCTTTAACAGCTTATAATGTTAAAAAAACATCGTTGAAACACTGCAGTTTTAAGTTGGTATTGAAAGTGAAATATAGTCTTATTAAAACGAAAAATAATTTTTTAATCGATTATATTTTCTCGCACTCAAATTACATTATCAACTATGCTTATAACTTTGTTCTGTTATAAAGAAAGATACATGATCGTTCAAAAATATATATATTTGAATGATTAATAACATAAATCGGATAAAAAGTCTAAAGAGAAAATCTTCTGCCAAGATTCTCAAGACATTTCTCCTTTTTGTAAATGGTTGTAAAAAATACATTTCTTGAAAAGCATGTTTTTCCATCAACTATCACGAACTATTTTTGTGGCATGATGAACAAGTAGGTAGATTGAATGCATTTGAATTTTAAGGTCGTATAAAGCCTTTTGATCGTCGCTTCATCTCTTTTATTCCGATTTCTTAAAATCTTATTCATTTTATTTCTCTATAGGATTCATCGATTCTTCGTTTTTGAATTTCTTCAGGAAGAGTAGTGTTTCCTCAAAGATTTTTCTGCAACACCAAGAGATCCTCTCCTGGGAATGCAAATAACAGGGGTAAAAGAAGATTCGAAATTCAGGCTGGCGCTTTAGTTTTCCTTCGAAAGTAAGTGAAATCGTGTGGAGTTTTTTTCCTAATTTTTCTTTTCTTCTTTTTAAAATTTGCATCATTGCTTTCACTTTCTTACTATGAAAAAAGTATTGCCACTTTTTTCATTGTGCTTTGAAATTGGACAAAGATTAACAAGGCGTGCAAGTAATGCTTTTAACAATCTTAGTTCGATAGCGTTTATCAGAGCATAAAAATCAGATGAGTGAATACTCAAAAATTACTTTTTTTAATAACATATAAATTTTGAATAAATTGTCAGATCCATAGCATTTTTTAAACCGCATATCCTTTACTATCTGCAACATCTTAACCTACAATTAATTAAAAAATAAAGTAGGTTATGTGAAAGAAAAATATTTTTACTATAAATATGTATCAAATGTAATTTTACTGTATTATGAATCAAAATAATAAATGTGCATATTATTGAATTTCAAATTATTCTATAAAGGAAACTCTAAATATCTATCAAATGTAATTTTACTGTATTATGTATCAAAATAATAAATGTGCAGATTATTGAATTTCAAATCATACTATAAAGGAAACTCTAAATATGTATCAAATTTAATTTTACTGTATTATGAATCAAAATAATAAATGTGCAGATTATTGAATTTGAAATTATACTATAAAAGAAACTCTACTGAAGAAATTAGATAGATGAAACAATTTTGTAGCAAAATCGTTTTTTAAACCTTCATGCAAATCCATAAGTTAAATGTTATCTAAAAAGGCCAAAGAAAAATTGCAATCCTAAATTGCATTGAACCTGCTGACTGGATTTATACTTACTCAGCTGTTAGTTTAATGATTTGAAGTACATACCTGAAACATCCAGGTAAATAAGAGCAGATAATAATTTAGGTTAAACTCAAAATGTGCTTTCTTTAAATGCATTGACTTTCTCTATTTTCTATGATGTTTTTAGCCCCATTCTCATTATATTTGTTTCTAAAAATAAAGAAGCAATTCAAACTCCATTGAAAAGTTTTCATTTCATGTGATTTTGAGTTCGTTTGGAAATTTTTTATTTCGACGTATAAATATTTTCTTATTTTTCAAAGTAGTGAACATAAATTATTCCTATCATGAGTTTTAAAAAGAAATCTTATTAATATTAATGAGTTTGGCTACCACGCGTAACTTTGTTCAATAAATAATTCAGAGACATGGAAAAAATGGGCCATAAGCACTTTTAAGCTTTGTTACTCCTTTGACGCAGATAGGACACCGGTATCCCTTTTATATATTTTTTTCTGACACTCCAATTGCAAGCAAAAAAATATTTTGGAGATTTTTAACTATAAAAAACAGTCAAATAGTTATTAAAAAAATCTGCTAGATTATTGGAATTATACTTGTGGTAAAATATAGAATTTAAAGAAAATTGTTTGAAAATTTTTCTTTACTGCAAATAAGTGCATATTTGAAGAATTATTCTTTGGAAGTGAGCCGTGCTTGGAAGATTTAGCCTTCTACGCAGAAAGACACCAGTGTTTCATGTTCCATGACTTTTTTATTTTTTATTTTATAACCGTCGTTGAACAGCCAGCCCAATTTTGGATTTACGACTACTAATGTTCAACTTCCGTAGCCTTGTAATTTGAACCCAGTCCAGAAGACAAGGAAACTCCTGGGAACATGGTTGACTTTGTGACCCGACAGATTTAACACACATCAGTCACCATTTACTACACCGTGACAGGCCCAGTGCCCTGCCAACCAGGCTATCCCGTCGCTTCTTCTGTCCATAAATTATTAAAAAGCAAAATATAATATTTTTGACTTATTTTGGTTCAAATTAATTCAATGTTTAATGAAATTCAATGTAGAATGAAAAACATTTAATGAAAAATCTGCTCCAATGGGTTAAAGACTTTCTTTAAAGCTATAGGACAATTTTGGTGATCTTGAAATCAGGATATTCTGCACAATCTTTTATCTTCAAGAAATATTTCTACTTCAGTGTGAAAGCTTCGTATTTCTTATTCTTTTTAGTTATATTAAATGCTTCTTTTACTTAATCGTGAAAATCGCACTNGAAAGAGACGGTTTAGTGGTGATTTATTTCATAATCGTCTTTGAACAGTCGATCCAATTTTGGGTTTACGACTATTAAGGTTCAACTCCTCAGCCTCGTAATTTTGAACCCAACCCAGAAGACAAGGGAACTCCTGGACCAAGTATTGGGAGAAATTTGCCTTCGTGGAGGAATTTTTGATATAACAAACCTACATTCAGGTTATATGGAGAGGAAAAATATGAAAACCTCCCAAGGTAAGCCTGATGCAAGGGGACTCTATCTCAAGATACATCTATCACTGAGGATATTTTAAGTCAGCAATGTTGGTGAGAGCATTGTGCGGAATTCATATAGACCAGTTGTCACTGGGATTCGAACCTGGTTCACCTCTTTGGGAGACGAGCGCTCTATCCCCTAAACAGTGGAGATTTTTCGTACTTTACTTTTCTTATTTATTGTACTATACTTTCCTATACATCATTTTAAAATGTAAAGGGATCTTTTCTTTGTATTTAGAGTCGGAGTTTGTTGGCTGATTTCAATCTTCATTTAAATCACTTTATAAATGATACAATAAAAAGAAAACAATTTTGGCAGAGATACTACTTCAGAAATATTTAATAAGACAAAAGGGTTTCCGAAAGCTTTCTTTTTTATCATCAAAAATTAACGGTACATTCTAGAGTTTTTACAGCACACAAATTAAGATGGAAAGCCGACTTTCTTTTAGAAGAAGATTGTTAAAATATTAATGCATACATTTTCCAAAATGTCTACTTTGTATCATACAATATAAAGTACAATGCTTTTTTACAGTAAATATATGGGTGTTTTATTCTTATACGAGAAGAAGGAATGCTTGTCACAATATAGTTAGTGCAAACGTATAACAATTATATAAAGAGATATGCAAAATACAGTGCAAAATATTTGGTATGAAATAGCTACAACCATATTTGATGTTAAGGCAAACAAACAATTTTTACAGTGCATGTAGTTATATTTTTTATTAACTTTTTCACTGTTATACCTTAAAATTATTTATTTATTTGTATTTGTGAGTTTGTTCGATGACAACACATATTTTCATGAGCATTTCCATCAGTTTAATATCTTCATTGCAAAAACATTTCGCTTAGAAACATTTTTAATTATAAATTGGCACTAATTCGTTCTAAAAATTGCTATTTTGTCAAATTTATGAATTTTTTTTGCACTGAAAAAATTTCGTATGTCTGAATGTCAAAAATGATGGCAATTATTTTACATCAAAGTGGTGCTTCACTATGTGTTCCACACAAAACTAAAGGATAGTTCCTGGTGTAGCGAAACACTTAGAATTACTTAGAGTAAAGTAGTAATAACTTAATTATAAGCTTGGAGTAATTAATTATTAAAACGGTACCTTAAAATGCATTTGTAACTAAAGTATGAAACTAATACAAGTTCATTCTTAAATATAAATTTTTCACTTTTGCATTTTTAAGTACCGATTTGTAGGTACCATGCTAAAAATTACACGAAATTGACAAAGTAACAATTATTCGAATGAATTAATGAGCAAATATTTCTAAAAATGAGCTTCTTTAAAACGAAATTTTCCTTGAATGAAGCTACTAAATTGATTCTAATGAGCTTAAAATTACTGGCTGTTAAGAAGCAAACACACAAAAAATGAATAAATAAGTAAATAAAAACTATAATAGTAACGAAGTAAATAAATTTCCATTATAAGCATAATAGACATTGTGTTCGTAGTCCCAGTCCTTAATGTTTGCATTTAGAATTACTGTAAAAATTGTTAATTAGCGAAATTAATTAGCGAAAAAAGCGTGATCTAAATCTGGCGGATCATTAACGAGCATAGGACAAAATTAATGGTCACTACCGGCACAGGGCGACTAAATATAAGAAGTGGTGACAAAAAATAGTATATCAGTCGACACCAGATCTCGACTTTTTTCGTCAAAAATGAACCCCATATTCTGAAAATTATTTTTCTCGTGCTTATTTCTTTAAATGTTTCCTAATTTCAGAAACAAACTTTGCAATATTTGCCATGTTTTGAAAAACTCTCCAAGAAAAGCCTATGACTATTAATGCCCACAATTTCGTTGAAATTTTTCAATTTCTAAAAAGTAGTCCTGTTTTAAAAAGTAGTCTCTGTTTAAAATGCGACAACTGTCAATGGCCAGTATCAAAATTTCCTAATTTTGCTCTATATTAACGAGCAAGGCTAGATTAAAAACATTAAAACATTGCCAATAGAAAAAGAGAAAAAATGGAAGACGAATGTAATAAACACATTCAAGTTTCATTAGGCAATCAAACAGACTGCGATGTTTCTAATCCCATCTGATTCAATATTGAATATATTGATTCTGCAGATTTCGTTATTGCTTTTTTTCCTTGCTTAAATATTGTTTTGCCATTTCTTATGTGCATTCAGTTTTGACAATGATTTTAAACATATATAAAGAACTGTAATTAGATGCCACGCTTTATTATAAACATATGTACTTTATAAATGAGTAAAATAACTAAAAATCTCCCTCAAGATATGAATTATTTTATTCGGAAATATTATATCGATATTATTTCAATCGGAAATAATATTGATCATATTGTTTTCAATAATTAATTTGTGTTCAAGATCAAAATTATTATAGCTAACTTTTTTTTTTTTTGTAAGAGCATTATAGTAAACTTTCATTGTATAATTTAAACCTGAAATTAATACAGCTTACAGATTTGCATTCTCCAGTTTATTTATCAAAGTTCCGCATACAATTCCATTTATTTATTTCAAAGAGCCAGACAATAAAATTAAGTGCATTCAGTAAACCTCTTAATATATTCAAACCATTACATTAATGGATATTTTAAAAGGTTTAATGTGATGATAGCATATTTATGGCTCATGGGCAATATTTGAAACGTTATAATTTTTGATACTTCGAGAGAAATA